CTAAGTTGTTATTCTGTGTTCTTTGTAGCTTCCCTTCACCAGTTTTTCTTGGAATTGGACAGGTAAGTGAAAAAAAAAAAAAAAAAAAGCATCTGTGTGCATAATTACTTAAGTGCTTTTGTTGAACATATTCCTGGTAATACAACATGAGACATTTATGCATTGTATTTTTTTCTACATCATAGGAACAATTATTCCTGTGAATAAAACAAATGCTTAGTTTAAGTTTGTGATGGAATAAAATTCCTTTAACGCAAGGGGCCATAAGACTGTAAGCCTCTAAGGGTGGTGGGTAACAAATGAGTGGTCTGGGACCTGGAGGGACAGGAGAATTCTGGTCCCACTAAGGTTTGGAGGTGATACCTAGGTTCAGCCACTGTGCTAAGAACAGGGTTGGAGTGCTGAGGTACGATCCACTTTTCCCTTAACCCACCCCCTCCAAATTCTTTTAGAGAAGAAATTTGAATTTTTATATCAAATCTCCAAATTCTTAAATGTTAACTTCCAATTCACATTTTTGTAAATCTCTGTATTGGGTGGGTGAACAAAAGCATGCTTGTAATATTTGCTCGTGAGTACAAGAGTGAGTTTGGGTAAACTTTCAAGTTAAGACCATTTGGCTTTTTCTAAACTTTCCCATCAAAGTTAATTTTTGGCTCGTTTATTCTTTTGGTCACATGTTGGTAATTTCCAGGAGGCAAACAATCATTATGGAAGATTTTTTTGATTTTGCTTTGATTATAGAGAGAAAAACTTAAAATTATGAAAATTATAATTGTTTACTAAATTTTAAGGTATAAATGCAGAAAAATCTGTCATAGATGAATAAACATTATTCTACCTTGATGTTTTCCTAATTAATAATTCTTTCAACTTTATTTTAGAAGAAAAATTTTAACAAGAGTATATTATCTTCCAAAAACATATCTGTATGTTTTAATTGGAAAACACTTTAATGTGCCCCCAGGAATCTTCAAATTGAATAAATTTTGTTTTGTAAACTGCATGCTTCTACGTAATTAATTATAAGCCTTTCTGATTTGCAGCTAGGTAAGGAAAGAGACTTATCAGACTCAAATTAAAAGTCTGAATTAGGGCCAGCAAGTGCAGGGACCAGGGTTCTGCCCCCAGTGCATGCTGAGCTGGTGATTGAGTCCGGGAGTGGTGGTGCATGCCTGTCATCCCAACGCAGGGGAGGCTGAAACAGGAGAATCACTGTGAGCCCGAGTTGCTTAGTGAGACCCTGTGCCAAATACATAAATGAAAAAAAAAAGTCTGAATTAAACTTATTTTAATTGTAAGTATATTTCTTCAAGAAATATAAAGCGAGACAAAAATACAAAGTCCAATTGTAAGTCAGAATGGGCCTGAGTAATATAAGCCTATCATAAATATTTGTAAACTCACGAAGATCAAAATTTAGAAATATTCACAATGTGATATTATTGTATCACATTGAAGTAGTTTTTAAAATTTTGTATCCTAATATGAAGAAAATTAAATATGCTGTAGAATTTACACAAGATGATATTAAGTGTATTTCAAAATAGTAATGCAGAATATTTTTAATGTGCTTAGTGTATTATAAGTTTTTTTTTTTTTTTTTTCCTGAGATAAGGTCTTGCTACATTGGCCTTGAACTTACTATGTAGCCGAGGCTGGCCTCGAACTTACTATGTAGCCGAGGCTGGCCTCAGATTTATGGCAGTATTCCTGCTTCAGCCTCCCAAGTGCTGAGATTACAGGTATGTGCTACCATACTCAGTCTTATATTCATATTCCTAGAAGTTAAATGAGACATTTTTGCTGTATTAGATTGAAGAGAAATAGGAATCCCACTAAAATTTTTTCCCTCTTTCTTTACTCTCTTGATTTGTTCTCTGTGTTACGGAAATACTAGATTTTTTGGTTTTTTGGCAGTGCTGGGTCAGTGTGTGGCCTCACAGTGGGATCGCTCTTGGGGACACTGCGCCCTCACTGTGCAGTCCCTGGTCTTAGAGCCCGTGATGACGTGTACATTCATGCTTATTTGATGTTAGATGTTTTGCTTGTATACAGTTCTGATGGAACCCTACATGGCAAGAAGAACAATGTTAGCATGTTGTGCTTATTTATTTCATAGGGCATGAAAAAAAATTGGCTTTTTTTCTTTTTGATGACCCTCGTTTTGTCTGATGATGTCCGTGCACCTCAAGCAATCTTTCTGGATGTTTTGCTGTAGTTTCTTTTTTTTTTTTTTCCCCCTTAGATGGCAACCACCATAATGATACTGTATGTAGCCAAGCTAAATAAAATAATTCACTTTCCTGATTTTGACAAGAGAATTCCTGTAAAGGTAAGTGACAAAAGCTGTGACATAAGATGGGAAATCATGGGCCGATCTCATGCAGCTCCATTTAGCTTTGCACTGGACTTACTGTTTGCACAGGATAGAGGGTTATTACTAGTAAAAATTTTATATCCTTCAGCTGTCCATTTACATAATGCAGTAACAGTAAAAGCATACTCTTAACAATTAACATTAAATACTATATGTGTTGTGAATTGACACAAAAGTTGGCAGCCTCTTTTGGTCAAGGGGCAGGCCAGTGCTGTTGCAGCTGTCCCCCTCTGTCACTGTGTCATGAAGGCACCCCTAGGTGACAGGTACACTAATCAGTGTAGTTGAGCTCCAATTAAACTGTCTCTGCATAGACAGGAGATAGGTTGGACATGGCCTGTTTTGCTCATCTGCCTTTTGTTTTCATTTGGATTGATAGAACCTATCAGTGGAGTGAGGATATAGTTTTATATATGTTTAAGTGCAGTTTCTTTCCATGTGGAGCTAGAACCATAAGCTTTGCCTTTCTTCCTTGGGAATACAGAGTGGAATCAGCTTTTACTGAACAGCTATAGGCTACTTGATGTGAGCCCAGGCATTGAATTCTTCATGCAATTCCAGCTAGCAGGTGACAATAAATGATTACAATGGCCCTTGGATTTAGGGAAGTTTAATTGCCAAAGTGTATGAGAGTGAGGGTGTCACATGAGTTCTGTCCTGTTTGTCTCTCATGTCTGGTGTTTTAGTTACTTTTCTCATTGGTGGGACAAAACACCCAACACCCAAAATCAAAGGAGGAAAGGTTTATTTGTAGAGAAACCTCTCACAGTTTGTAGAGGTTTCAGTTTATAGTTGACTGGCTCCAAGGCAGGGTGACATGGCAGAGGGGAATGGCGGAGGGAAATAGCCCATGGCAGGCAGAAGGCAGCAAAGTAGTGAAGCAACAAGCGGCAAGCAACAAGGGACTCCAACAGCTCTCTTTCTGTTCCTTATTTTCTGTCCAAGGCAGGTAGCACTCACACCCAGTGAGGGCCTTCTCATCACTCATTGCCAGGACTATGCTAAGCCCATCAGCAAATCCCAGTGTCACACAGTCCAGATCCAGCCACATCTGAAAAGCCCCAGCTCTGAAGCTTTGGAGGGACTGCTGTACACAGGGGAAAAGGCTGGTACCACTTGCATTGGCTTCCTGCCCTGTTGGATTATGCACAAGCTTCTAGTGCCAGTGCTGGAGACAACCACAAAAAGAGAAACAAGAGTTTAAGTATATAAAAGTTATATATGTGATCAGTTATGGAAAGATATCACAGTGCTGTTGGTTTGTGACACTTACTGTATATAGTATATTTTTTAAACATTTTAACAATTTAAGAGTGTCAAATGTCAGGTGTGGTGACACATGTCTGTATTTCCTAGCACTGAGGAGGCTGAGGCAGGAGGATCCTTGGAGTTAGTGGCCCCACGAATGCTGGGAGTTAGGCGACATAGTGAGTACAAGGTGTACTGGTTGATACATTGTGTCAGCTTGAAAAGTTTAGGAGTTTAATTCAGTGACTCAGCAGGGAGCTAGGGTTCTTACTTTGTAAACATCCTTATCCTGTAGAAGAGGAGGGCGTGGACCTTGTGTGACTTCTACGCTGCCAGCCCAGGGTAGCCTGCTTATAACATAGGAAAGGAGAGAGGCAGCTGCTGCTGCTGGTCCCTTTGCTCTTTGCTGTTCTCTGCTGCCATGAGCTGCTGCCTTCTGCCGTGTGCCACTCTGCCCTAGAGCCAGCTGAATATGAACAGAAACTTCCACAAACTGTGAGCTAAAATAGACCTTTCCTTCCTTAATTTTGAGCGTTGAGGATTTTGTCCCAGCAACAAGAGAAGGATAACGGAGACACAAGGCCAGCTTGAACTGCATAGTGAGAACTTGCCTTAAATCCCACCCCTTAGAAAAAGCATTTCAAAATTGTTTAATATGTATAGACAAAAAGACATCATGCTACATTCTGTAGTTAATTATTAACCTTGAAATGATGATGTAGGTCATGAATTGGGATCACACAGTCTTCATTACCCACTATTCTAACTTTTACAATAATAAATATTATTATTATTGTAGCCTTTTTTGTTTGTTTTGGTTTCTGTGGCCCTGGGGATTGATCCCATAGCTTTACATATGCTAAGCAAGCACTGTACCACCGGGCCATCTCTCCACAGCCCAATAATAACTTATTTCTTGGTAATTTTTCTGAATTGATATGCATCTTGCACCCTTTTCTAAAGACAGCGCCTTGCTATATAGGTTATTTTATTTTTTGGTACTGGGAATTGAACTCAGGACCTTGTGCTTGCCAAGCAGGCACTGTGCCACTGAGCTATATCCCTGGCCCTTGCTGTATACTTTAGGCTAGCTTCAAACTCACTATATAGTCCAGTTTGGCTTTGAACTATCAACAGTCCTCCTGCCTGAGCCTCCTGAGTCCTGCGATTCCAGGTATGTGCTGCATCCCTTAGTTCTGTAGTCTGCTTTGGCCTGTTTTGAACTTCATATATAAAGGGAAGCCAGCTGTGTGTATTCATTTGTAGCTTACTTTTTCATCTAATATTATGATGCTTCCATGTATTTGTATTGCTGTGTGTAGCTGTATTGTTTTCTTTTTCTTTGTAGGCATATACCACAATTTACTTTTCTATTCTTCAGGGTAATTTGCATTGTTTCTAGTTTAGGTAGAAAAATAAAAATGACTTCTCTGAACACACTTATGGTTACATCTCAATGCCTGTGTCTTAGCCAAGGTTGCTATCAGCAAATACCCCAGATGGAGCGGCAGAAGCCACAGCAGTGTACTTTCTGGGCAGGTGAGGGAGCTGGCAGGGTTGGTTTCTGGTGAGTCTCATTTCCTGG